GTTTTAACAGCATGGATCCGGAGTCACAGATAACTCTAAATGCACACACACCCGGAGTTCACCCTTTCATTCACTTCCGCGGAGTCGGAGCAGACAGCAACCTGAAAAATTGCCCCTAAAATCTTATCTCTCAAACTGACTAGGCATTTTCTCTACCCCTCAAGCTACTTCTAGACTCAGAATCTACTGGCAGATGTCACCAATGATTGCCCACCTCCCTTTAAAAATAGCCCCCATTCACGCACCTCTCAGCTACACGAAACCGCCCGACACCCTTTAACCACCAATTTTAATTCATAGAAAATAACTGTATTTCGTGACATCACCTCCGCAGCCCACCCGAAAACTCGAGTCCAGGACACCTTATGAGGCTGTTTTTCAAGCGCTGAATTCTGAGACAAGAGGTTACTGGAGGCATCCTGGTAGATTTCTGGGCTTCCAACTCCCTCCTCCTCCTGGCTGGTAATTTTCTGCGGCTCCTCCTCCTCCCCCTCTTGACCTGCTCCAAGGTACCTTCGCCTCCCCTCCCCCGCTCGTCCCCAGTGAACCTCCAGCCTGCGGCGGAAAGCAACCCTTTCGTGCTAAATTCAGAGCTGCCAGTTGGACACTATCGCAGCGAGGGAAAGGGTGTCGCTCTGGGAAAAAAATAATCAACTAGATTTGATCAATTTTATTAACTAGACTGATGTAACTCGCTCCGGATTTCCAGAGAGCTCGGGCGGACCCGTGGGTGTTTTGCTAGATTCTGTGCGCCTGTGATTTCAGCCCAACCGCCCAGGACTTGGGAGATCAAGCTGTTTCGCCTCTCCAGACTCCATCTGCCCCCGCGAGAATCCGATACATTTAATGAAGGCTTTGCCAAATGTAGGGTTCGGCACGTCCTTGGGCCAGAACCACTTAAGTCAGCGCATTGCACTCACTGGTTCCAACCTGGGCTCCCCGCGTAACTCAAATAAATCATGTGTTCCTGGTCATTGAGGAGTTCAAAGAGGGGTGAGGGAGAAAAAAAAAGGTTTCACTTGACACTGTCAGCCGCTTTTGAGAAATCATAGTAAATACTTCCAGAAGCACAATTTTAAAGGGAGGGTGCAAATTTCTGTCCTCGCTTGGCCGAACTCCTCCCTGCCATCAGCTGCGGAACCTCGCATGCTCACGATGGACATGAGGTTTGTGGCTTCACCGTTACTGGGAGCATGGAATTCTATCTTGGCTGAGAACGGAGCAACAGACCGCACAAGAACGGTGCCTTCGGGGCTGTCCTCTGCCAAGAAAGAACACTAACTCCGCTTGTGACAGAAACTACTACCTGAACTCAGAAATGCAGGCTTGGAAGCTCTGTGTGCAAAAAAAAATTCTTGCTAATCCACCCAGATTGTTTTAACTGGTTAATAAAACAATCGACAATCAACAAAACCACAATCCCAGCAGAAGGCCTAGGCAACAAAATGAAAATCATAACTAAAGGTTTGTTAGTGTTAATAACTGCCTTTATTATCATTGCTTAGCATTTTTTAAGTAAAAAAAAAAAAAAAGGAAAGACAATCATTTCATGCCCAATGGTACATGCAGAGAGATCTCTTTTTTTCTCTGAAATTAGAGCACAAATTGTCTTGATTCATCCTCAACAAGCCGCCAACAACTGGAAGAGAGACAAAGTGGCTCTAAACACCCACACCCTGTTCCCAATGGAATATAAATGGTTAATCGTGACTCCCTTTAAAGGCATATAATTTTATCTGACCCTGTACATGATTAAAAATACCAATGGTTGATATAGCCTTATTCTACATGATTAGAAACTACACAGAAAAAGTAAAAATAAGAAAAGGAAGTGGGATACATACACACATATTCAATACCTATTTGAAGAGGTGAATAAAATATATTCATGTTTCATTTTGACTCCCAAATTGTTTGTAGATATCAGAAAATATAAATCCTGTTATAAATATATAAATACTTTATTCACTGAAACTAGCAGCTAATTGTTATTGTACTCCTAACCTGATTTGGATGTAGGCTAAGCACACAGCATCACCTCCATGAAATTAAATTCCCAAACAAATTCATAGCTCAGGGAAGGCTGATCAAAGCCTCCCTTTCCTTCCCAATCTTGGTTACATGGGAAAGAATAAAGCTTCCTCACAATGTACATGATTTCCCAAAGACCCAACTTAAAATTCACTTATATCTGTCAGAGGTTGTTGGGGAATAAATAAATTCTAAATGTGTAATTTTACTTTTCAATTGCAATTAAGATTTAGATATTTGAAATGTAGCTTGAAAACATGTTCATGAATCTGTATCTGGCATTAAGTTTGATGTGGAATGTTTAAATTTTAATTGAAGCAGAGAAAGCAAGCAACAGCACACAAAAACACAGCCCCATCAGGAGGCTTTGGTTTAACAGCTGCAGTTTGGAAGGTGTGTACAAGTGCCCATCAGCAGATGTCACAGATTCAAGAGGAACTTACTAAAACTTCAGCATCCTTTTTATATTCAAAGGGACTGTAATGTATACTGGGGTGGCCTGGAGGTGAGGAGACTATACTTACTAACTACTCATACTCTTCTTTTTGTCAATCAGGGATTCACACTACTGCTATTTTCAAGGATGTATTTTTGACCTCACAATATACAAAGGTCAAAGAGTCCATTTTTGAGAGGAGAGGGTCTAATCCACCCTTTGAACACAAGAGGTCGCTCCTGTGATCAAGTACTCTAGAAAACTATTGCTAATCACAGTTTTATGTATTCTAGAAAAAAAAAATTAAAAATTTTAGATACATTTGATGCACTAAATCCACATATAGCAATCAGCTAAGGAAATGGGAATTATCCAGGATCACATCAGAACTTTAAGGTGAAGTGAAAAAATGCTTGCCATTCTAACTTTGATTTAAATGTAAAATGTACTGTCCATAGATGCATACAATTCCAGAGCACATCCACCACGGAAGAACATAATTACTGGGTTCCCTCCAATTTCTCCCTTTGATGGGGGTATCTTCTCCATGGATGTTGCTTCTATCAGTTTAGGAACTTATCAAGAAAATACTTGTTTACAATAATGGTGCAGGCTGGAAAAAGGAAAACATGTTGTCTTCACCATTAAGGTGAAATTGCCCATTACTAAAGGTTTTTCCCCCAGCCACATGCCATCTTTTCTATTTGGAATTGCTATCATCGGAAATAATTCTTTGTAATAGCTTATTGGTTTAGGGAGTTAAAACACCACACTGTGTTGGGGGTGGGGACTGGTTTGAAGGAGGATGGATAAGGAGGGTGCTTTGTGGATCTCAAATATGTCATCAGCCTTCTGGCAGCTTCTGATGTATAATTCCATTTTATAAACGTGGCATGATGGGATATGATTGGCTAAAATTCTTTTTATTTTCTGACATTATAGTGGTATCTTTTTTTTTTCTTTTTTTTACTAGGGTCAACCTGTTTGTCTATACAGAAAATAACACTCATATACTGTGAAGAGTTGCTTCGAGTGTTGCGATTAACAGCATCGGCTTTGCAAAAGCAGTTTGACAAAAGACTCCATGCATATATAATACCAGAGATAAGAAACAAACCAAAAAAAAAAAAAAAAAACCCAACCAACAAAACAAACTGGTAAACTTATCAACCTAAGTCTACCCAACTTGTTGCTTTGACACACTCCGAAATAATTTATAATAAAAATGGAAGGGAAGAGATCCGATTTGAAATCTTTGAAGGAAAACAAAGCAAAACAAAACGGGTTCTTAGTGAAGCCCCAGCTAGGTCAGGAGGAAACTGATGCATCTCAGATTCTCTTTGCGATCTGGAAAGACAGCCATTCAAACCGAGCTACTGAGGCCGGCCGAGGGCTCACAGCTCTTATCAAGGGTTAGATCTGACGAAAGATACAAAGAAAGGAGTTTCCTAACACACGGGGCTTCTCACGGGCAACAAGACACCGAAATTAAGCCTTCTAAGGCTTGTGTTTGTAGGCCTTTTTAGAGATAAAACTGGCAGTCCCATTAGATAAGGAATAGCTAGAGAAGCTTTGGGGGAAATGTGAGGGTTCTTCGTGGCCTTCCTGTGCCTTTGGGAGACTGCTAGAGATGATGGGAACGTGTAAGAAATGACTGAAAAAGGTTACCGCGAGATGCAGCCAACATTCTTCTCTCCAGGTAGTTTCCCCGGAGAAAATTATTAGGTATCAACTCCCGGTGAAGTGAAATAAGCATATCACTCTTCTGTAATAGACCCCTCCCTATTCGCGCCCTTAGACGAACGCATTTTTAAAAATTATCTAGAAAGACATGGAAACTTGTCCTCATAATTATCAAAACACCACAGATAACGGCACATTTGCTTAAAAACAAAGGGCAGGTGACAAGCAGAGCGAGGAATTCGACAGGACATAAACGCCATTCAAACTTTAGACTATTGGAAGATCATTTCGCTCTTTGGCTTCAGGTTAGTGAGCTTCAGTTCTAGAGTTAAACTGAAAAGCAGACCTCGCGGGTCGGAAAGAGACAGAGGCAGTCCGCGGAGTCAACTTCGTTTTACCTGCGCGTTCCAACCTGATTGTCCGCTAGGGCAAGAAGTGCACCTTTCCTCCCACCTCACGTTTTTGGATATCTGAGGTCGGGGCAGACGGGGTAATGGGGCAGCAGTCAGCGAATAATTCCTCTGGGTGTACTCATCCCATTCCCGGTTCTTCTTCCCCTAGCACGTCCTGCACAGCCAGTTCTGGAGGGAACTCACCCTCTCGGGCAGCCAAGCCGGGCCAGGCCCGAGCTGTGCGCCACAGCATGGGACCAAACCGAGCTAAGCGGCCTGTGCCAAGTTCCACCTTTTCCTAGAGCCCGGGAGGGACCTCATGAACAGGAAGACCTACCCACCAGCCACTCGCCACCGGCGGAAAAGTGAGCCCCGCGCGCAACGCGGCCAGCCGGACTGCGGGGACCCCAGGAGCGCAGGGCGGAGGAGCAGCGCGACAGGAGGCCAGGGCGCAGGCGGCGCGGCTGGGAAGGAGCGAGGGAGGGGGCAGGAGGAAGAGGAGAGGAAGGCCAAAGCCAGAGCAGCCGGGCAGCCCAAGCATCGGGAGCAAACGGCCTGATCCCGGAGCAAGTTGCCTCGGGAGCCTAATCCTCTCCCGCGGGCTCGCCAAGCGGTCAGTGGCGCACGGCGGCGGCGAGGCTGAAATATGATAATCAGAACAGCTGCGCTGCGCGCGCTGTAGCCAATGGGCGCGGCGCTCGCCTGACGCGCCCGCGCGCTGCGTCAGACCAATGGCGATGGAGCTGAGTTGGAGCAGAGAAGTTTGAGTAAGAGATAAGGAAGAGAGGTGCCCGAGCCGTGCCGAGTCCGCCGCCGCCGCAGCGCCTCCGCTCAGCCAACTCCGCCGGCTTAAATTGGACTCCCAGATCCGCGAGGGCGCGGCGCAGCGGAGCAGCGGCTCTCTCAGCCTTGGCAACGCCAGAGGCCACAGTTTCCCACTTAGCCACAGCTCCAGCATCCTCTGTGTGGGCTGTTCACCAACTGTACAACCACCATTTCACTGTGGACATTACTCCCTCTTACCGATATGGGAGACATGGGAGATCCACCAAAAAGTAAGAGGCTATTTTACCTTGTGGGGCTCGGTGTACTGTTCTTGTGCGGGGGTCTCTCTCAGGCACGGGTGCCAAGGGCTCTTCGGAGTTGGAGTCATTGCCTAGAGAGAGAGAAAAGGTGGATTTTTCTTGTTGCCGCCACGCCTGCATGCTTGCTGTCGGTTCTGATCTTCGGGAAACTGATCGTACCTTGTGTTTGAGTTCGCCTGTGTGCCCTCCAAAACCCTAGCTTTCTGGTGCTAAGCGGTGATTTCCTTCTCGGGAATCCTGAGCTCTCTCTCTCCGAGAAGGTTATTATGTTGCAAAGGTCTGCCTGCACATTCAATACCCGGAGATGTGAATTAGCATTAGACTTGCAAAAGAGTGACAACTGTATTGATGTCTGCTCTTGCTAACAATATCCAGTCCTATGTGCTATTTAAGAGCGTGCTTCATGGAAAATATAGACATCCCTGCGTTCACTTAACGATTCTAGTCAAAACCTTTTCTTTGACTTGACTTATCCATAATCTTTCCCAATGATTACGGCAAAGAGAAAGGAGGGGAGGGGGGAAGAAATACAAAATCAGCGGGTTTGATTGCGCGCTAGGCGTACAAATGTACAGTGTTCAAATCTGCATTTTACATATATTCCACCTCCTTTTAAAAACGAGTCAAGGTTTTGATGGCACACTTCAATTATCATCCCAAAGTGCAATACTCAAAAAAAAAAAAAAAAAAAGAGAGAGAAAGAAAGAAAGGGGGGGAACCCTGCCAGAGTATGCCCTATAAGAGAACGACACTAAAAGTGTGTTTATCTCTGTAGGAAGTAAACGGTTAGTCAATCATGTATTTATTTTCATTTCAGAAAAACGTCTGATTTCCCTATGTGTTGGTTGCGGCAATCAAATTCACGATCAGTATATTCTAAGGGTTTCTCCGGATTTGGAATGGCATGCGGCATGTTTGAAATGTGCGGAGTGTAATCAGTATTTGGATGAGAGCTGTACGTGCTTTGTTAGGGATGGGAAAACCTACTGTAAAAGAGATTATATCAGGTATGCCATTTATACTTCTTCCCTAATTTCGTGAGATTTCCCTGTCTCTCCCCACTCCTTTCTTATTATTTGGTGTGGCTTTGTCTTTCTGCGAAGTTTGCCTTGGTGGAGTGCAGCGAGCAAAAGTTACCCGTAAGTGTGTTAAGAAAATTTAGCTATGCTCTTCATGTCACTTTTTAGGGGTAAAAAAACAAACCCTGTACAGTGGTTTTCATAAATTGTGCGGTATTGAGGCTTATTTAACTATTCTTAGTATTTATGATGCTCAAATTATTTTCCTCTTTCACCCTACTCCTTAAGAAATCAAAAAAAAAAATTGAAGACAGATAAGTTTGGGTTTTTAAACTTTAAAAGGACGTTGAGTTTCATTGTATAGTGTAGTGTTTTATTTATTTTAGTCCTTTTTTTATTTGTAACTTACAAATTCTTTGGCGGTATCAATGAATAGGTGAAATAAAAGTTTGACCTAAGCATGTTTAGAGATGCACTTTGAAAGAGCAACTAGAGATATTGGGTCTTTTACTTTTAGGGTAAGAGCTCCTGACTGGAAAATTTCAAAACCAACCTAAATATTCCTTGCAGAAAGGCCAGAAATTTAATCTTTTTAAATATTAACCCTTTGGTGACATATAACTGTCTTTTCTTTCTTATCTTATCTGAGCCAATGAATTAGACAGAGCAGATCAAATTGCCCATCATCTGCCTACGAACAATTGGTATATTTAGATAATTGAACAGCTTCCTTTCTCACATTAAAATCTGGTAACTGATAAAATGAGCGAATTACCCATACTGACAAGACCAAAACCACATAGGAACTTTCTGAGTCTGGTTTTGTTGTTTTGGGGGTTTTATCTCCAATTTACTCTGCATCAGGCTTTGCTAATCTCAAGTTTTCTCTGCCCTGTGTACATATGGAAGAAACTTTGTTTTCTGCCTTAGGAAGCCAGTAGAATTTCTAAAGAAAATTTTATTAGTTTTAAAAACAAACAGAAGGGACATCACCTTCAATAGTATGTTAAAAAATAACAAAATATTACTTCTTAAAAATTTTCTGTGGCTACTAACAAGTAATTAGTTATCTTTTGATTTCTGGAGGTTGAGATAATCTTTTGATTATCTTAAGATTTCTGGAACTTGAGAACTTTTATTGAAGTTTAGTTAGGATTTAATATGCACTCACAATTTTCTCTGCTCACTTAGTGTCCCACATTTTTTTTCTCAAATCATGAATCCGACGGTATAATCTTGATAGATAAAATTGAACAGTAGGGGGGTTAATACTTTGGTAGAGGGAGCAGGGAGGAAGTAAGGGAAGTGGGGTACAGGAAGGGGGAGGGATTTTCTAAATTGTTTGGTCACAGGCAAAGTAAAGTCTTCACCCTATGAAATGGAAGATCTCACATTGAGTAGGCGGAGGGAGGAAAACTTTTGAATCTACCTTCTAACCTCTGACAAATGAGCTGTTTTCATTGTTTACTTGATTAGTGTGTGAACTCAAGATTCTAGAGAGGGAGAGCCCACTTGGCACCTCTGGGAGTGTCTTTACTCCTGTGGAGATAGTGTTTTGCTCAATTGCACACAGACCTGCATGTGCCTAATTCTGGATACACACATTTGTAGAAGGATCTATAATCACTTTTACCTTCTTTCTGTTCTCTCTCAACTCTGTTTGTGTGCATGTGTGTATGTGTGTGTGCGTGCGTGTGTCCCATCCTTTGAAATCCTGTGGTTGAAAAAGCAGAACAGAGTGACCATATAGATTTCCAGCTCTTCCCTTGGGGGAGCAGGATGCCTCTGCCTTTATGTGGATCTTTTCATCTCTCTCATTCTGTTTGTAGCAGTGGCCCAGTTTCTGTTATTATTGAAATATGGAGAGGGGGACAGGGCATTGAGGCTTAGATGCAACCTGTAAGGATTGTCCCCTAGTAAGGAAAGGCCAGTAGCAAGGCAGACCTTAGAAGTGGGTCTTTCCGTTTTTCAGGCTGGTCATAGTTCTCAAACAAATTGAAATAGAGGTAGGTGTACCTACAACTTGAAAAAAATTGAGGGGGGACACAGATTCAGATTTTCAAAATAATAAAAGGAAGAATGGTGAGGAAACTTTCTTTTAACATTGTTGCCTGAGGGAAAATCTTTAGTTGGAGAAAGACTAAGATGTACTTGTGCAGAAGGGGGATCTGGAAACCCTCAGAGGTTTCATTTTGTTATTTTGCTTGTGTATTTGTGTGTGTTTGCAAAACGAGTGGAGTGACAATCCCATTCCCCTACCTCTTTTCTTTTCTTGGAAGGAGGACTTTTTGTTACGGTTTCAGAGCTATTTCTAGCAGCAGAAATTGGGGCATATAGGGAGGCGAAAGTTTGCGGCTGGTGGTTATTGGAGTTCTTTTGGATTCCTTCCTGCTAAGATCTGCAAGGTCAACCCTGGGACTGGTCGCTAGAGCAGCGGCCCAGGTTTGGGATGCATCAATACTTTTTTTATATATATATAGGTTGGGAGTTCTGAACTAAGAGGAAAGGAAAAGGGAGTAAAAGAAAGGGAAAAGTGGAGGGTGGAGAGAGAGGGAGGGAGAAAGATACAGAGAGGTTTCATTTCTATCCTCGGGTCCCCAGCTTTGTTTGGAAATGCTGATTTCTCAGGGAGTCGCTGGGCGATCTTGGGCCAGGAAAGTGCTCGCCTGAAGTGACCCCTCTTCCTGTGCTTCTCTCCCCGCTCCGGGCCCGGCCCCCGCGCAGGTTGTACGGGATCAAATGCGCCAAATGCAGCATCGGCTTCAGCAAGAACGACTTCGTGATGCGTGCCCGCTCCAAGGTGTACCACATCGAGTGTTTCCGATGTGTGGCCTGCAGCCGCCAGCTCATCCCTGGGGACGAGTTCGCGCTGCGGGAGGACGGGCTTTTCTGCCGAGCAGACCACGACGTGGTGGAGAGGGCCAGCCTCGGCGCCGGCGACCCGCTCAGTCCGCTGCATCCGGCGCGGCCCCTGCAAATGGCAGGTACTCTTCTGCCGGGCTCGGGTAGGCAGGCGCCAGACTAAGCCAGCGGCGCCCCTGCCAGTGCACCAGCCGCCACAACCACCAAGGTAGCCACGGGGCGGTTGTGGCAGCAGCCTGCAGTTAAGCGAAGTGTTCTATGTGCAGTATGCTCTGTGCTATGCTCTTTTCCAGCAAGGTTCAATGCACTCACTGTCTCCCTTGACTTCCCGAGTCCACCTACACGTTGGTGTGTCCATATATGGGACCCATGAATATACACCACTTGTATACACACACTCGAACAGTACTTCCAGTTCACTTTCGCCCTAAACCACGAGTTTAAGCTCCCGGCCAGGTATTCTCCTTGCTGCTGCCTAATTAAAGGGGTGGAGTCCTGGGTCCCTGGAGCTTCTTCCTTTGACTCAGTGAAGGAAGCTTAGGTGGCCTTAAATCATTTAGCCTCCCGAATCCTTTTTCCTTGCGAATTGCACCACACTCCAAAACATTTTTAAATTAATTTTTACTTTTTTGTGAAAGAAAGGGCCTGAAAGGATACAGTCTTAATAACTGCAGGCCATTGCACAGAGCTGTAATTTAAAACTGTCAACAAGCTAATCTGCAGTAATCGCCTTTTAAAGGGAGCCTGCCTCTTTAAACCATTCATTCTATGTGATTTGGTGAGAATTTCATCTTCAAGCCTGTCTTTGTAGCTCTAAATTGACCCCATAGGTGTTGACCTCACCCTAGGGGATCATGGAAGGTGCTGGTTTTGTACTATACAGATCAGAGGGGCCTACTCCCCAGGAAGGGGAGTGGAAACAGCAAGGTTGGCCAGGACCAAAACTCTGGGTAAGAAGGCAGGCAGTGTTTCTAAACCTGCCTTTCTGTCATGAATAGATCTACCCCCCTGCAGTTAAAGTATCAATTCACACTAAACACTGGAGGCGAGGAAACTACAGCTCCCCACCCCCACCCCCACACCTTCTGTTCTGGGGGATTTGTGACTAGCTTGCACAGGGGCAAAGCCAGGGTGGCAACTCCGGTTAAGTGCAGCGTGCGCCCTGCTTGTAGGGAAACACAGAGGAAATCGAAATATTGCGAGGGAGGTGGGGGACATTTCTCAGCCCTTGTGTATCTTGAGCCTAGGCAGCTCAACGGAGTTTCAGTTTTCCTTTGCTTAGGGTCAGCCCTTCTCAGGAACATCCGTGTAGATTTAGCGCTAAGAAAGACTGGGGAATGGAGAAATGGCAGAAATAGAATTTCTTTAGCACCTTGACATGATTATCCTCTCCCACCGAAGTTCAAGGCTTTCTGGCAGAATTCTCCTCGGCCTTACCCTTGCAGAGGTCCCGGCTCGCGTGGTGTCCCTGGCTGTCACGACGGTGTTCTGCGTTCCCTGGTAGCCTCTGTGGCCTTTGCCTGGAGGTGGGGGCTACTCAGTGTAACCTGGGCCCAGTCTGGGTACAGGGAAAGGCGAGAAAAGAGGAATAACAATGCTGAAAAATGTTGCCGCTGCCGCTAATAGGGAGACAGACCCTGAGACATGTTCCCCTTGGCTAACGCTCTGTTGACATGAGCAGGGGCGGGGGCTGCGTTCCGTGCCGGGATTACTCAGTATTGACCTCTACAGATCAGAGAGCAAGATTTTATTTTTCCTTTCGCCCTCTTCACCCGCACCCCTGCCGCCCCTGCTTTGTGTGTTGAGGCTGCAAAGCGCCAGCCATTGTCCGGGAGCGGCGCGGGCGGGCAAGCCCGGCCCGCGCTCACGGTGCCCCTTGCCCCGCAGCCGAGCCCATCTCCGCCCGGCAGCCGGCCCTGCGGCCCCACGTCCACAAGCAGCCCGAGAAGACCACGCGCGTGCGAACTGTGCTGAACGAGAAGCAGCTGCACACCTTGCGGACCTGCTACGCCGCCAACCCCCGGCCCGATGCGCTCATGAAGGAGCAACTGGTGGAGATGACCGGCCTCAGCCCTCGAGTGATCCGAGTCTGGTTTCAGAACAAGCGGTGCAAGGACAAGAAGCGAAGCATCATGATGAAGCAGCTCCAGCAGCAGCAGCCCAATGACAAAACTGTGAGTGGCCCTGGGGCCGGGCAGGGGACGCGAGGGTGAAAGGGAAGGCGTTCGAGATGCGTTCCTGGTGCCCAGTCTGGCCGATGTGCGGTTTTTCGATCCTGCTCGCCAGCAAGAGCCAGGACGCGACAGCCCTTCACCCCTACCCGCACCCCCACCCCCACCCTCACCCTCACACATGGCCCCGAAAGAGGCAACTTGGAGCGGGGAGCCAGTCAGGGACGGGACAGGTTAGACAGGCTAGAGCAGAGGGAGCAACCGCCAAGTCCCAGAGCTCTGTGGGTGGGCTCGAGCCCTTCAACCTAGCCAGCGCATCCCACCGGAAGGACGCTGTTGCCCCCTTTTCGGAGAGCTGGCCCCGTGTTGCCAAAGTTCAGGTAGTCAGTTCCTCCCATACTGAAGAGGAGGGAGGGACAACAGCTTGGGTTCCTATCTAGATCCATGGGTTCTGCGGTGGGCAGGTCCCCCTGCAGACTCCTGGGTTCACCTCACCACTGGGTGAGTCCTTCTGCTGCGCCTCAGGGGTGGTGAGATCCCCCAAGGTGACCTGAATCCACAAGGCAGCGCACGTCAAACCAAAGCCTCCACAGAGGCGTCAGGCCTCTCACACTATTATCACAGGCCCATGGCACCCGCCCTACAGGCCTCCCGGTTAACTTAAGCTAAGGAGTTTTGTTTTTTTTTTTTTTCCTTTTTCTTTTTACTGCTTCGGCCCTATTTTTAAATGCCATAAAACCTGCTGTCATTAAACTTGGCAGGCTGGCCAAGACTGGGCCCGGGAACTTTCTAAGTTGGTTAGTGCATAATAGCGCAATAGCAGCCAGACCCAAACGCTTGGGGGTGGGGGCTGGCTCTTGGGGAACTGCTTTAAAAAAATCTGTAACTGAAACTGTCCAGAAAACCACCATGGCTATAGGCCGAAGGGAGGCCCAGCCTGCCTCTGCTTTGGACTTCTGGGAGGCTATGGCCTGAGAAGGCAGATGGGAGGATTGGGGATGAGTTGTGAAAGTAAAAGGGAAAAAGAAAGTCATAGTAGAATTTGGTTTAATAAGGTCCAAGCACACCTAATAGTCCAGCCTGCAGAAGCAGAAAATCAAAACACAGCAGAACAAAACTGAACTCTAGCTAATATCCAAGGGTGCAGCAGATTAACTGAGTCAATAAAGGCCACTATATAGATAAGATAATACCTACTGGGGTATATTTGTTTAGCCTGTGCAGACAATGGAGGGAGGGAGTTTGCTCATTAACATGTTGGGTTTGGGGGGGCTATTCACAGAATATCCAGGGGATGACAGGAACTCCCATGGTGGCTGCCAGTCCAGAGAGACACGACGGTGGCTTACAGGCTAACCCAGTTGAGGTACAAAGTTACCAGCCACCTTGGAAAGTACTGAGCGACTTCGCCTTGCAAAGTGACATAGATCAGCCTGCTTTTCAGCAACTGGTAAGTGTCAGCTCCCAGACAGAGGAGGCTGAATTGCCAACAGAAAGGGGATTCTGGTGTAACTGTCACACACTGAAAGATTCAGGGAGAAGAGTTGGGGAGAAACCAAGTTGGTGAAGAGAAGAGAAGCAAATGCAAGGAAAACAAACCTCTTGCTGGCCTTTTTAAAAATGAGAATGCATAATTTGACCATATAAATTAAATTTTCTATCAATCAGGCCTGCTTTGAAGGATCAATTTCAAGGTGCCTGACTAACTAGTGGGAAGATGTACAGGGTTGCAAAATCATGCAACTTGGACTTTGAGAGTTGGTAGGGACTTCAAAGATCACCTTGGCATTGCAGTCAGCAATTAGTAAGTCTACTCCGTCCGGAGCATCTAGAAAATGGGATAGTTAAGGACCCACATCAAGGTGATTGTAATATATAATCAATTGTTGTTATCAATAAGCAGCAGGTACCTATCCGGGTACAGTTTTCAAATAGATCAATAAAGAGATTATTTAAATAGATTATTGATACTTTTTGGTACTATATCCCTTTCTGGGACTATTTTAAGAGTTCAAATGTCATATAGTCACATAGTGTACAGCATGTATAGCAAAAAGAACATGAACTCTACGAATCAGAGTTACAGTGTTTATTTAACCTGTGAAAATCTGGTTTAGCATTAACATTTTACACATACAGAGAAAAGAAAATTAATTCACCTTTTGCCTATGAAAACCTTAAGGAGTCTTGATAAATAAAACTATTAAATATATGTCCTTTGTAATATGGTATAGGTACAAATAGGATTTTTTTTTTCTTAAACAGTATTTAGCTCCTTAGAATCCTGTTTTATAAAACATGAAGATCTATCCTAAAAACTTTTTCCTTCCTTTGGAAATAAGGCTTTAGTTGAAGTTAGCTTTTTACCCTCACATTTTACCTGGAGGGCATTTGCTTTCTCAGTGTCAATAGTTAGGTAATTGGCCAGAGGCAAGTGGTTTAAAGGGCTTGGCCCCAGGCTTGTGTCTGTAGTGGTAAGTGGGCCAGTCTAGAGGATAGGCAAATTCGAGAAATTCCTTGACCTGACAATGGGAAAGTTCCATAGGGTAGAAGAAAGGAAGGTAGACATGGGAACTAGGAAAAAGAACCTATTTTAAAATCCTTAATCTGATTAACTATTTGAGCAAAACCTGAATCATAGAAGGAAGGTAGGGGGAGGGTTCGGTGTAGCCAACTATTTGCATCTTCTGAAACTTTAGTGTCAGATGAGAGCAGTGGAGAGGAAGCTGAGGCATGGGTTGGCATGGTTAGAGAAGGTTTACAACAGCAGTGCCATGCTTTTAGGGTTAAAAGAAGGAGCTAGATATTTATAATGTGATGATGCTGTTTTAATAGTTGGGGTCTCATCTTAGAAGGAAGAGCCTGATTGGGTGGGGGTGGAGGGAGCAAGAGGCAGCAGGACCAGCAACAAGGAGAAAAGCCCAGGCTGTGAGTCCTGAGGAGTTAATCATTGTTCTGTGGAGCCTCCGCTCAGTCTCATCACAGAATCTGATCCCGTATTATGGATTTTCCAACTCAAAGAAGAGAGGTTTTGATGCCTAGAGACTAAGAACTCACCTACTCCCAGGGCAACATGTAGCCAGCAGGATAATTTTATTTTCAGAATGCATGGTAGAGTTGTGATGCCATTTTACAGTGGGAAACACATTTGTTCTTAAATAATTTAAGGCAACATAATGTTGGGAATTCAGTTTGAGTTAAAACAGAAATCTTTTGGAAGATGGGAAAGTGAGAGGATTTCTTCTCAAGTTACGCTCCTCACAGGCTTTCTTTAAGCCTGTTAAAATTCATTTATGTACGTGGATATCTTTACATAGCCATCTACACGATCACTTGTACATACATACACAGTATGATGACTTTATAGTCTTTGTGTGAATACGATTACAGCCTCCTTTATTCATTTCTCAATCTTCTATGCAGGTCAATTTTTCAGAAGGAGGACCAGGCTCTAATTCTACTGGCAGTGAAGTAGCATCGATGTCCTCTCAACTCCCAGATACACCTAACAGCATGGTAGCCAGTCCTATTGAGGCATGAGGAACATTCATTCTGTATTTTTTTTCCCTGTTGGAGAAAGTGGGAAATTATAATGTTGAACTTCAAAACAAAAGTATTTAACGACCCAGTCAATGAAAACTGAATCAAGAAATGAATGCTCCATGAAATGCACGAAGTCTGTTTTAATGACAAGGTGATATGGTAGCAACACTGTGAAGACAATCATGGGATTTTACTAGAATTAAAACAAACAACAAACAAAAACCCAAAACCCAATATATGCTATTCAATGACCTTAGAAGTACTGAAAAAAAAGAAAAAGACATTTTTAAAACGTAGAGGATTTATATTCAAGGATCTCAAAAAAAGCATTTTCATTTCACTGCACATCTAGAGAAAAGCAGAAATAGGAATTTTTCTAGTCCATCCTAATCTGAATGGTGCTGTTTCTATATTGGTCATTGCCTTGCCAAACAGGAGCTCCAGCAAAAGAGCAGGAAGAGAGACTGGCCTCTTTGGCTGAAAGAGTCCTTTCAGGAAGGTGGAGCTGCATTGGTTTGCGATGTTTTTAGTTGACTTTAACAAGGGGTTAATTGAAATCCTGGGTCTCTTAGCATGTCCTGTAGCTGGTTTCTTTTTTACTTTTGCCCCTCCCTCCTCTTTTTTTTTGAGATCCATCCTCTATCAAGAAGTCTGAAGCGACTTTAAAGGTTTTTGAATTCAGATTTGAAAACCAACTTATAAAGCATTGCAACAAGGTTACCTCTATTTTGCCACAAGCGTCTCGGGATTGTGTTTGACTTGTGTCTGTCCAAGAACTTTTCCCCCAAAGATGTGTATAGTTATTGGTTAAAATGACTGTTTTCCCTCTCTCTGGAAATAAAAAGGAAAAAAAGGAAATTTTTTTTGTTTGCTCTTGCATTGCAAAAATTATAAAGTAATTTATTATTTATTGTCGGAAGACTTGCCACTTTTCTTGTCATTTGACATTATTTTTTGTTTGCTGAAGTAAAAAGACAAAGGTTGTACCGTGGTCTTTGAATTATATGTCTAATTCTATGTGTTTGTCTTTTTTTCTTAAATATTATGTGAAATCAAAGCGCCATATGTAGAATTATATCTGCAGGACTATTTCACTAATAAACGTTTGGCATAGATAAATAAATAAACACAATGATCCAGGGTCCCTCTTTTATATGTTTACAAGCAAGCTGTTAAAATGTCTGGAATTAAGGATTGCATGTGAATTGGGGTAAACTGACATACAGTAGGTGTGATATTGTATTGCAAGTAGTTAAGGTCAAGTTTGCAAGTTCGGATTTGAATAGTTGGATCAAAGTTGGTTGGAAGCCCTTAGCTCTCAGCTGTGATAATGTTACTACTGGTTTTATGAAAATGAGATGCTGTTCTCTGTCTTTTCCCTTTCCTTTCTCCAGTCTCTTTCTTGCCCTGCCCCACTCATCCACCCACCCCAAATAGAAAGAGGGTCCTGCTTGAAATGGTTTTTGATTCGGAGTCACTATTTTATTTTCTTAGAATAAGTGCTTTATACCAAAGTCTACTGCTAGAGATTGTTGAAATGACCCCTATTTCAATTATAAGCTCTTGCTCAAAGAGAGGCTTTCTGCCTAGCCAGTGAGGTATGACCGTTATTTAGGTGGCGGCTGTCAGCCGATTGAGAAATGCTGTTTTATTTGCGCAGAAGGAACAGGCTTGGAGAGAGAGTTTTCCCAACAATTCCCAGACTAGTCAGTGTATGCATTTTCTTGCCTCTTTTCCTCACCCCCGCCTCCCCGTCACCCCGTCCTCAAGTCCAACCTCGGAAAGGATGACTGGCTAAGAGCAGAAACAGGGCATATGTTCTGTTGAGGAACCGCCTTTTATAAGCGGTGGGGGACCGGTCGTGCGCTTTGCAGGCCCCACCGGCGATCAGAGTTGCGTGGGCGTGCTCCGCTCTCGAGGACGGACTCCCCACCCCCTTGGCATTTAGCAATAGTTCAATTGCGAGAGCCAGAACCCAGGGATAAATAAATGGCACTGCCCGAAATCGGACTTCTCCGAGCCTCTTAGTTTGCTGGCGTAGAGTTAAGATTTGGGGCTCCACCCTGTTTCCTCTGCTCCCTCCTCCGTCCCCACCCCAGGATGATACTTTGACTCTCTGGAAACTGGATTCATTTTGTAAGCGCGAGTGTAATGCCGTTTTCAATATCTGACAACTCTTAATAAATACGAAAACTAATGTACCCTAATCGTGTGTCGTGTGGCGAGTTACCCGTTCGGGCCCCTGACGGGGAGCAGGGCGGAGGCCGGGCTGGAGACCCGGCGAGACTCGTGGCCCCCTGGCTCTCAAGTCGCTTTCACCCTCTCCAAACCTGCGCAAGTCGGGAAGCCAGCCTCAATTAGGCTTTTGTTTGGTATCGTTCTACATAACGGGTTAATTACAGGCTCCAACGTGGGGGCAGAGAGAAAACAAACTTTGCATTGAAAACGTTACAGTGCATTAGACATGCCCGTTGATTACTTTGATTGTTGTGTCTAATTCTTGACAGAGGGGTAATAATTTGGCCGGCGGTAATAATGGCTTGTAGTCCTCTGTTGAGAAAAATAAGAGTTATGTCTTATCTCACACGGATCTTCTCCGGGAAAGGCTCCCCCCACCCCTTCTTTTGTCTCCCTCCTCTAATCCCCTGCCAACGGACTTGACTCTTTTAGCGTCCCATTCACCGTTTCTGCTGGTCTGCCTTTGCACGTTTCCTTTTTCCTCACCATCATAGCCGGAATGGGTAACTAATAAGCATGTGCAAGGATAGCAGGTCCAACACGAATATTAATGTCATGCCTGCAAAAGCTACTCATCACCCAAGCCCTATGTGGAAACCATTGAACCCCCTTCCCCAGCCATAGCTTCTGGTGGACCTTTTGGAGACCATTAGGACTTACAGATGGAAAAAACTTTATTTAGGATTTGAATGCAACGGAGGGACTTAAGTGAGGCACACATCTTTGTGATGCCTTTTCCTCCTGGCATTGATTTCTAAGATTAAGGGTATGTGTATGTTTGGGTAAGGTGGGAAAGGTGATGTTTTACATATATAGATGTCCATCTATTCTGAAGTCCACAGCTTGAATTTAAGCACAGTAATTCAGAGAGGGGGATGATAAATGATTTGGTTTCACTTGCTAGAGTCAAGATATTCGTTGCCTGATGGCTGAGAATGGATTGATGGGTCGATAACATTCTAGTTCTTGTATTATTAATATGAAAGGTGTGTCTTCCCTTTCTAGAGTCCTCTGCATGCGCTCTAAAATGTGTAGCCAAAATGTCTTCTTGTTTACAAATCATCTCTTGCACATACTCTCCTTTTTTCTGCACACCTCTGGAAACCAAGTTTTGCGCTCTGCTCTTCTAATGAAATTCCTCCTGTTTGTTATTATCTTTGATCATCCCTCCCTTATTACTTTGAATTCTTCCTTCTGGACATTATGACTCATTTCCTCTAGCTTCTGCAAGCTAAAATTTAATGCAACTAAAAACATCTAGGACACTCCCCTTAAATCAGGGAATTCGTATTACTATCTACAGTCTTGAAAACAAGGGCTTTCCCTCCTTATAGTTTCAGAGCAACATCTTCTTCTCAATCTTCTCAATCTTTTTTCCTTTCATCAAAAGGACCTGGTTTTTCTTACCACCAAAAAAAGTCCTTTTTAAGTTAGAATTATATTTAAGGACTTTTTCCCATTGAAATACTGTTTTTGATTATTTGTGATTCGTGGGTTTGTGTGTACCCACTTGACCATTAACAACTTTTTTTGGAGTTTGAGATTAAAGATGACTTTGGGATGTTCTGCTGCTATTCACCCTGATCAACTTGTTAAACTCATCCTGTTAACCTCCTTTCTGGTCTATCTCATCCTTTGACTGCTAGCCAAAAAGACAATGTGCTTTCAAGTTACCTTAGAAATAATTTGTATTTTCCTAGCACCTTGAATTTTAAGCCACAGGATCGATCTCAGTGAAATATAACTGTTGTAAATCCCATGTGGATTTACTTAACCTTTTCCTTTTTCTTAAAACATAAGTTAAAAAGATGAAAATCCCAGACCAAACCCTCAGAAGAGCTAAATTTGGATGGCACTTTGGATTTTTAATCTCATCCCTAATACAAGTAAACTAAGCAGAAAGTACTTATTTTCTTATTTGTAAAGTTCAGTTTAGTCAACTTTTATAAAGGACATTTATAATCCAAATTATGCTTGGCTTCTATTCATTAAGGACTATTTACTTCCTCTGGGCTAATCAACAATTAAAGATTACGTCACAACAAGGCAAGTCAAGTTTTCTTTGGGGGCGCTGGAAGAAAAAGAGAAGGGATTATTTTTGTGGCTTAAACAGTGTTACTTTACAAAAAAAAAAAAATGGCCCCAAACCTTTACTGCTTGTTAACTATTTAAAATAAAAAGTAACTTGTACAGTGTGAGTGAGTGTTTTTAAACTAAAATGCAAGTACTTAATTCAGGGCTCTGGCAGCCAATTCTGTTTACTGATCTTTTCTGATTGTTGTTTTCTTGATAACGGAGCAAGCCACTGAACGGCTATTTGAGTCCAGGCGCCACAAACATAAACTTCACAGCTTACAATGTCCCAAGCCGTGATGGAGGATCTCTCCACGCCTCCCGGAGACTTCTGAAGTGTAGACAGAGAAGTTGGTTCACAGGGAGCAAAGGAGGGGGAGGGGCGGCAGGGAAGGCTGCTGAGTGTTTGCTGTGAGCATTGTTACTATCTCATCCTTTAATTTTTATGGTGCTTAAGCTGTTGGTTCCGAGCAGCCAGTTTCTGTGCCTTGAGGAGGCCAGTCTCATCCCGGAATTGCACTTAAGACTTTTTGATTCTGTTTTTCAAAATGTATTTTGCAAATCTTTCTGCTTAATTAGTCCTCTGCAAAAGCACTCAATATTCATAAACAAAGCGTTCTAAAAAGAAAATAATATTTTAGGGAATCTCTAGGTTTGGAAGAAATACATGGGGTAAGATTGCTTTTCGCCAGGTGGGCAGGAAAGGCACATTGACCAGCCCTTTATGAGAGCCATATGGAACATTCCACTTAGCCTCAGAGCTGCTTATTCCTTGCCTAGGATCCTCTTTCATTCATCAAAAGTTCGTGTTCCTTTTGGAGTGATGTTATTTGTGGATGTGACTGAGGCAGCTACTTATTTTGGGGGTCGTCCTAGTGAGTCTTCCGCCGGGTGCGTTTCCCATGTCCAGCGAGCAGGGCAGCGCCTTTCTGCACTAGGATTGGGGTGGTGGTGCCGGCAATGGGGGACCCGGACACTGGTCTAACCAGCCCCGCCACTCCCGCGGGCAAGTCAGCCCTTGATCCCTTAAAAAAGGGACAATTGCCGTGGTCCGGGAGAGGAAAAAAGGATGTTTCTGGGCCCTTCTCCTTCAGGAGTTGATCAGGTTGGCAGATCTGGAGGGCTAATCCAAACAAGGCGCTTGACTTGTGAGGTCGCGAGTCTAGACAGAGCTGGTGGCTCGGCGGCTCCTTATCTTTCCCTGGGATCAGCCGAAGAGGCGCTCCCCGGCCCACTGCGCTCGGCTCGCCCGGGCCGGAGCCACCGCACGGCGCAGACGGCACAACAAACACAGCACCTGAGGCTTTACAGCTCGCTTTATTGTTTAATGGAGAATGCTGCAAAACATTCATTTGTCTTCTGGGCCTCGCGACCCGGCCGCGTTGCGGCCACAGACGCTGGGTGGGGGCGTGCACCAGCGCCCGGCCATTCCGGTCCCCACGCCGGGCAGCGCCGCGCCGTCCGCTCCGCCACCGCGCCCGTGAGCGCGCACCACTCCTGTCCCTGCCCCCTTCGGCCCTGGAGAGGGCCTTCGCGAAAGCCAACCGCTGCCCTCTTCTTGCTCATGAGCCCCGGAGGCGGAGGGATGGAGAGACAGTAGGAAAAAGCTTAGGCGAGGTGTTTTGAACTAATCCAGTATCTGCTCTTTCTGCCTGGAAATGACAGTTCTGCGCTAAAGCCATTTATGGTCTGCGGGGTCAGTAGGCTCTGACTCAAGGGCGATCAATAAAAACATTTAGTTCAGTAATAAGGTACGTTTTCTTCCCCGAATGTACCGAGGAAGATGCGTCACCATCTTGTACAGGGTGTCCCTGCG